TTACAAAATATTTCTGGAAAAATTATATCATAGTAAAATTATATTTGTGTAATGAAATCAGTAATCATTTACTATAATGAATAATTCGTTAACGCTATAATGAAGATTCTTATAATGAAGTCCTGATCGGCTGGATCGGCAACTTCGTTATATCATGGTATGACTGTATTGCTCCAGAAATTTTTCAAGGAAAAAAATATACTGAAACTTCAGATATATATAGCTTTGGTATAATTATGTGGGAATTAATGACAGGTAAAAAACCTTTTTGGGATTGAGATTATGATATATCACTTATTATTGAAAGTTGTGATATTTTGCATCCTCTAATTAATACAATTGCACCTAAAGGTTATATTGAATTAATATGCAAATGTTGGCATTCTGATCTGAATAAAAGACCAACAGCTATAATTATATGTAATGTTATTAAACAAATTATATTAAATGAAGAAAACAATCTAACTATAATTATTGAATACTTAAATGCTAGGTCTATTATTACAAATAAATTTACTTCAGGTAGTAAAATAACTTATACAAAATCTGTAAGCTTAATTAATCATTGTAAATAGCTTTATTTTATAATTAGATTCATTTTATTATGATTATTAATTAATACAAATGTATGCTTATAAAAGATAAAAGAAATATAATAATAATAATGATATAAATAAAATTTTTATTTATCAATTTAATTTATGAATAAAAATATTTTTTAATAAAAAAATTTTATTTTAGATATATATTATAATAAATCTAATAAATTTAATAAAAATAGTAAGTAAAAAAAGATTTAACATATAATATTTTTATTAATACAAACTAATTAAAGTTTTTATGATATAGATTATGCTTCTAAAGCATTAGAATATGATGTATAATACTTAATCTAACAAAAGATAAATATTAATCAAATATTATTAAGATTGTTATATGTTGAAATTAATTTAATAGCAATTATTTTTATTTTCAAAATGCAAAAAAATTTTTATTGTTTATTTTCATTAATAAAAAATTTATAACTATTATTTTTTAATAATTCTATAAGAAATAAATTGGTTTATTTTATATTTTTTTGAATAGCTAATATTTGCTAAAATTAATAAGTGTTTCTACATGAGAATTTTTTAAGGATTATTAAAATTGTCAATATAATAATATAATGTTATCATTTCTTATTATTCTCAAAAAATATATAACTTAAGTTGAAACTCATCCAAAAAATTCTTAACCGTTTAATAATTGATTAAAAAATTCCTTATCCAGTTAAATTTAACTTAGATTAATATTATAAATTTAGATAAAATTAGTGAAATTTAGTAATTACAAAAAATTTTAATTTTGCCAAAAATTAAATTTTGGTTAAAATTAAAATTAAATATTTTAATCAATTAATAAGTTATGTCTTAACCAGTTAATTAACCAGTTAAAAATTAATTACTATTCTATTATATAATTATGTGATCAAAAATAAGAAATTTTAAAAAAGTAATAGCCAAATTTCAGAATTTCGTTCATCATGTAAATATCTAATTTGAAGTTTTTGTAGTATTATTAGAATAACAATCTAGCAAATATATTACTATAATTGTATCTTTATGATAAAATCCTCTTTATAACGATTTGATGAACTGTTTATTTTGATTTTTTTATCTCAGAAATATAGATTTGAATAATAAATTTTTTATTCATATTTGTAAAAATAATATATTTCTTATAGAAATATGACTACTATAATAAATATAAGCTATAAAATATCTAATATTATTCATCTAAATATTTCTTAATGATATTTTCAGTTTGCTGAACAAAATTTTTAGTTAATTATTAGACTTGAAATTATTACTTTACTAATCATGAAATTTCAAGCATTTATAAAGTGATAACTTAATTAGACTATTCAATTATAATTTAAGATTTCATAAGAATAATTAATAAAGTAATATATACTATTTTCTACTATTTTTTTAAAAGGATTTGCCCAAATATACTTAATAATACTTTTAGGTGAAAAAACTATAACAATTCTATTTCTGTTATATCAGAATAGTAATTATCTAATATTAACTGAGCAGATTAATTAACTCTACTATGGCAAAAAGAAGGGTTCTAGGACAAAAATCCAAAAGATATTCAGAAAGGATTCCTATCCACCTGCAAATTCATTTTACTATATGAATCAACTATCAAATTCAAGCCTCTACATCATTTTGACTCAAATTTAGATGATAATATCGAACTTGTCTAGGAATTAACCTGTCTGCTTTAAACTCAAATAATATAACAAAAAATTTTACTATTCTATTTGCCTCAAGAGGGGTTATCGAAAATCAAGGAATAAAATGAAACAATTTAAATCAGCATGATATTGCAAACCCAATATAAATAATAACTTTTATGCTATTCTACTTAACTCTGGAAAAGACATCAAAAATCAAAGAACAAAGTGATAACATTTGAGCTAGGCCTGATCATGCAAGCCTGAAATACATATCATAAGCTAAGTCTAACCTCTTTGTGGTTAGATTTATCTGTTATCTAGTTTGCAAATCAAAAGCTTAATGATTATGTTTTAGCATATTATCAATTTATCAACATAAGGAAACTATTCTAAAGCCATTTCCTTTAAACAAACCTGAGACAAAAAAATCTAATCTTTTGTCTATTTATATGTGAAATTTAACCGCAAAAAAAGTCTACCCTCTTAACTAACTATATAATAAATCTATCTTTTACTAAAACTCTAACCTCTTGAATACATATCAAATATTAGGGCCTTATCCCGAAGTATATTAACATATTGAATCATATAATAGCCTTAGTATGAAAATAACAACGATTACAAGATGTTCCAGTAGGCTTATACATCCTGATTTCATGCAAGGCTAGCGTTTTTTATCTTTGTAATGCAATAAACAACCTTTAGATTAAGTACAGCTTTATCACAAGTCTTGCCAGAGTTATGAAGATAATTACAAATAAAATCCACTTTTATTTTCTAAATATATATATAATTAATTTTAATTAAACAAATTTTATACAATATAGTAATATAAACACTTTTATAATGAGCACACAAATTTTATTAACTGAAAATAAGCAAATCCAAGAAGATAAATCCACTTCCCAAAAAGTCAAAAAGGCTTTAATCAAAGTACTTAAGGCAGAGATTCTTTATAGATGACTAATAGATGGTAAGTTTATGCAAAATTATAAAAGCGTATTCTAGAATTATATCAGAAGAAGATTCCAAATCATATATTTTAGAAAATGCGAGAAGACTATTTCCAACAAAAGACAAATATAAGCAAGTTATTAGTAATTATAAAACTTATTATGATAAAGATTTAAAAATTCTTAATGCTGTTATAGAACTATAGAGATTATACTATAGGTTAGCTAAGGATTATTTTATAACAGAAGAACAAGGTAATAAAATACTTGAGGATTTTCTTATCATGTAAGCACTTATCAAGGTAGATGGAAGCCTTTAATAAAAGGAGAATTTAAAGCCATATGTAATGGAAAGACTATTACTATTCCTCTATCAGTTCACATTAAAGATGGTTTCCATAATTATTTTTAAAATTTTTAACTAGTTGCAACACTTTGAGTTGCAACATTTATGAATTTTTATATTAAAATAAATTTACAAGGAATTGCAACTTACTGGGTTGCAACTGCTTAATTATGGTGCCCATTAAAGATGGGAACTGTAATTAATATGTTGCAACTTTTAATGTTGCAACTTACGTTACAATTAGTTTTAACCTATATATGTTGCAACTTATAATGTTGCAACATATGTTGCAACTAATTTTAGCTTATGTTGCAACATTTTGTAAATTTGAAATCAATTGCTGTACCATCTTTAGTGCCCATCTTTAGTTCACATATCTCAGCATAATATCTTTACTGTAGAGAAAGAGGATTTAAAAAAAATTAGGTAATCAGATATGTATATATTATTTTAAGGTATTTCGTTATATTTGTAAATTAAGATAGCATATGAAAAGAAATAATTTGTGCTTACGAAAAGTGACTGATTGCTCACAAGAAATGACTGATTGCCTACGAGAAATGATTGACTGCTCACGAGAATTATTGATTGCTCATAAGAAGTAACTATGCCTATAAGATTATTATTGGTATAGATTTATAATTGATTTAGGATAGAATTATAAACACATGACCAGAACTAGAGTTGTGAACTGGTTTTATTTTTTAAATCCAGATTGGATAAAATAAATGCAGTTTCCTTCATTTTATCTGAATATAATAAATCCAGTTCTTTCGTTTCATCCGGATATAATAAATCTGGTTCCTTCATTTCATCCAGATATAATAAATCCAGTTCCTTCATTTAATCTGAATAAAATAATTCTAGTTTCTTCGATCAATTCAGTAATTTAATAAAGTTATTTTTTAACGTTAAATGATATTCCAATTTTATAATGCCATGACACTTGCATTGTCGATCAGTAACAAATTAATTTTTTTAAAAAAAACTATCAACCTTTTTAGTAATATTTTAAATTTAAATAAAGTATGGAAATCTTTCAGAACTTTTTATTCCATAATAAACTTTAATTTAAAAAGTAGATTTCAAAAATATTAAAAATAGTAGTTCTTATGACACTTTCTTTTGAATTACTATGTCCAACTCTGAATCAACAATCACACATTCATCTATAAGCATTTCCAATGAATGAATAAAACGTAAAAATAAAAGAATGCAACATCTTCAAATAATGATATACTGGTAGAAAGAAGCAATAAAAGTCATATTTCTTACTTTTTTCGTAAAGACCCCAATAATAATGATGTAGCATATTATATAATTTGTGAACGAACCAGTAAAAAATCCTATCCCTATAGCCATAAAGACAATTCAACTTCAAACTTATCCTATCATTTACGAGATAAGCATGAAATAACGAAATTCAATTTTTTAGATTATTTAGATGCAAATAATGAGGTAATTTTATTAAAAAAAATCGCAAATATATTAATTCATTGTATTTAAAAAATTTTATTAATATTAATATATATATTCTATTAACTAAAATCAAATCAAAAATAAATATCAAATGTTCATTGTAATGAAACTCGGCAATAAGAGCTTGCACATCACTTGATAATTTTTATTATTCAATTTGTTCAACCTTTATATATTTTTAAAAATAATGCTTTTCGTGAATTAGTTCATGCTTGTGAATCTGAATTTGCAATCCCATGTGAAAAAACAGCCAAGAATTTAATTTATGAAGCATATATCTGGAGCAAAGATCAACTTGTTAATTTACTTGGAAATACAGCTACATCAGTTCATTTTACAACAGATCTTTGAACTGCAAGAAGCAATCATAGATATATTAGAGTAACAGCAACTTGGCTTACTTCCGATTTTACTTTTTACGAAGTTTTGCTTACTTGTAATCATTTGGAATATTCACATACAGAAGAGGCTATTCATGATGAATTATACCAAATTATTGAACAATAGCATTTAACAAATATTATTTTTACTATTACAACTGATAATAGACTAAATATAGTTAAAAGTATATGTCTTTTTAACCAATCTTTATCTTTTATTAAAAGATTACCATATGCAGCTCATTCATTACAATTATCTGTAAAAGAAGGATTAAAATATTGCAAAAATATTCATTAGCGAATTAAAAATTTGCAAAGTTTTTTTCAATTACAAAATAAGAATAATAACTTCGACAAGCATAGCTTGAAATTAATGGACTTGAAGGACCTACAATTGAAGATTCTAAAATACCAACAAGTCCTTTAAATGTTTTAACTGATACTATAACTTGATAGAATTCTACATTTATTGCTTAGAAACGAATTCTTGAATTGCATAATGCTATGTGTTATGTTTCAACTACATTATTATCAAAGAATGATCATATGCTAAATAAGAATGGAGAGAAATTAGAAAAATTATGCTTAATACATGAAGAAAAGATGTAAGTTTAAATAAATTTAAAAAATAATTTTTTTTATTTTTTTATTTATTTTAAAAGTTTATAAAATTTTTTTGTTAAATAGTTTTGTTCAAGAAATGGTTAAATTATTAAAACCATTTGAAACTATAACATGACGATTATCTAGTACTTCATATTCAATACTTAATATGGTACATCCATATATGTATATGCTTAAACAAATGTTTGCACTAATAATTCAAGAAAATGAAACTATAAACAATTATTTAGATATTATATATAGGCCTTTAATAACTAAAAATACTAATGAAGAAATGGAAATTGATGATGACTTAAGTTCTATTAGGATGATGATAGCTTACCGGCTGCTGGAAATCGACAATATTGGCAATATTCTTATCAACAATTTAGACAACAAATTAGAAGTTGAGAACAAGAGTGCAGGCAGAGATATAACTATAGAAATAATCATAGCTATTATCATATTCATAGTTGTGATTGTGGTCATGTTCGTATTTATAAAATTCATATAATTCAAATAATGAAATAGAAAATTTAAATCAAATTAAATATCTTTCACTAGTAAATACTAGTAATCTTCTTAAAAAAGTTTGAGCTGCTATTTATCTTTCTTTGGATGAATTATGGAATATACTAAATGAATTATCTTTAGTTGCAACAATATTAGATTCTAGAATGAAAAGTTTTCCATTTGCTGAAGAACCTGATCGTAGTGAACAAAAATTACAAGCTGAAGCTTTTTTGAAAGTGTTGTATATTCAAATTAAATGAGATTTAGAATTTCCAGAAGAGGTTCAAAAAATATTACCAATTATAATTGAGGAGGATGATGATATATTTGCAACGATGTGAAGTAATGATCAAGTATTAACACCAATAGGAGATGATGAGATTTTATGCTATTTAAAATGTCCTAATGAACCAAAAACTACAGAACCTTTGATATGGTGGTGAGATCATATAACAACCTACCCTATTTTATCTAAATTAGCACATAAATATCTTTTGATT